CACTCCCACCTTTTTGATAAATTATGGTGATATTATCCATGAAAAAGTCAGGAAGAAGGGGTGGACGATGGTGTATGGCAACAAAGAAAGGTGTACGTAAAGTGATTCGGATCGATAACTGATTTGGTGCTGGATCCATGAAGCAGTCAGCACCGTGTAAATCATCCATCGTCATTCGTAAGTCCAATGTTCAGGTCCCTGCAGCACATCAACGTATGTAGCCATGGAGGAGAACTTGGGTGATGGTCCTAGCCCGTTCCGCGACGGCTCGCTCCTACCAGCCAAGGTAGCGTAGCAAGCGAGCGTAGTGTATCCCGTCACGGCTCGTGCGCCAACGGAGAGTTTCTGAGTGCAACTTGGTAATGAACTTGCTACTCTGCATTAGGAACTGCCTTTTGACTCGGGCTTGCCGACTGACAAAGTGCAACAATACCGGCACATACTTGTTTTTGCATGGACGAATAAGCGCGAACTTTTGAGGTCGTCCATGTCTACACAACAAGCGAAAGACCTCCAGTACACCTTGAACCAAGACAAGACAAGACAAAGTTTTTATCCACTCCGTAGGATTCAGAGAGGTTTACCCAATTCGATGCAGGCAGTTCAAGCCAAAGACTAGTCTAGTACGCAGTAGTACACAAAAGTCTGTAACTGGTATGCCCGGCTTTGCATTGAACCCTTGTCTATGTGTGATGCACACAATAGTATGTAGACTCATGTCTTGAGTCAGGCCCCCTAGGGCATCAAACCCAGTGTGGACAACAAGGGTGGCGGTGGAAACTGCACCTCGAACGAAGACTAGATAGGTAGTCAGTTGATTCTCTTAACTTGAGCGTGGTCTTTCAAGAGGGTCAACGTCGAACAAGCGAGAACGTGTTAAATTTCTGACTATGTTTGGTTGATTTGAACATGGTTGCTGCTTTATTCATACTACCCAAGGCTTTAGGGTATATCGATGGTGATATGGTTGTCTCGGACATGGCCTGGTCATTTCGTGCATGATGATCGAAGGGATAGAGATGAAGGTTTATTGCCTTTAAATGATCAGAGGGAGAGACACGGATAAGAAGAAATAGGGTATGTGGAGTCAAGCCGTTTCCAAAGACATCAGAAAAGATAATACTTCTTCCAATAGATGGACAAAATGAAGGGATGTCGAGCGAGAGGGAGCAGGCATAGATATATCTACCCTGGACAATAATCAGAATCCGAAGGGTTGTAAAAATGTGGGTGGAAATGTTAATAGTGGGTTTTCTCGTGACACATGTGGTGAGAGGAGATACGAAATAAACAAACGATTAGAAAAAAAGGGAAAAGATAAAGATATCGAATTATATCATGCCTTGGTTGATAATGAGGCTACCGACAGACGGCCTGTGACCTGGCATGAGGGTGTATGAAGGTTGAGGCTGAGGCTGCTTAAGATGTCTCAGATATATCTGGCAAAAAGTCGACAACTTCTTTCATACAGTGTAATAAGAGTAGGGATTTACGAACAAAGTATTAATGTCAAGCAAGTGCTTCTTCACCTGCACTTGCAAGTTGCAACCAAGCAGGTACAAGTCAGGGCGGGCATCTTTCTTTGTACTGCAAATCTCGGTATGTGCATCAACAACAACATCTGGAGGCTTCCCAAAATACTTTTTGGTCAAATAATATTACTAGGCTACGATGATCAAGCGGCACGGGGCCATCTTTACTCTCGTGGCTTTACATACGGTTGCTGCACTGTGTGTACTGTACCTTTACCGCTCCTACAACAGTTGATGCTACCGCTGCCACTTCAACGGCCACGACATAAAACCCAGCACAGGAAACCAAGGGTCCACGTCGTTGAGGTGGGCGTCTGTACTGAATCTGCACCCACACTCCCTTAGTGGATGTTCACTGAAGAAGTGGAGCAAAACTGTCCGACCAGACCCCAACTACGACTGCCTGCAGCTGCAGCTGCAGATGCAAGTGCGAGTGCATGTGCACTGTAAAATGTGGACTGTGAACTGTGGAGCTTTCACTAGGGCCGTCCTTCCATCCTGGTACTGTACAAGGTTCTTCTCGTCCACTTCCACATCCATATTAGGCCACTGAGTCCCCTGCCCCTTCCCATGCCATTCCAATGCCACTTGCCTGACCAACCCCCCGTTCATTCCAATTCCCACCACAACCACCGCATTTCCTACTCTTCACTCCGACAACAGACTCAGCTTCCTACTTACAACAAACATCAACACAAACACAAACATCCAAACACCGAATTATTTACATTCTTGAATCTGACAGTCGCATCGCAACTTCTTCAAACCTTATCAACCCGTTCTCAAACTCACCGTTTACAAACCTCGTCAAGACCCTAACCTACCTACCTACCTGACGGACTTTTGCGCCAGGCCGCGTCTTATCCTAGTCGCAGTCGCACTACACTCCAACCACCTGCTCATACTCTTTTAACAAAACAACAACTGTTGCTGCTGCTGTCAAATTTCGCATCAAACTTGGACATTATACAACCTCAAACCGCAAACATGCTTCTTCCGTCTGCGCTACCTTGCGATGCGTCGCACTCGTCTCATTCCCGACTTCAACAATCTCTCTTCTCTCCTCCTGCCAGTCCCCCGGCTCCTTCGCACAGTTCTTTCGCCAACCTCATGACTACTTGTCGCTCTCTCCAATCGCTCTTATCAATGCCCGCGCCCATTGTTATCGACTCTCGTCCTGCTCCTTACAATAACGCTCAACTACCAACCCCACCGCTCGCTCACGCAGCTCCTCCTCTGAAGTTGCGCCTGCGACCGCGCCCCCAACGCCGTGAGCCTGTCGGACCCAAGAAAGTTACAAAGCGCGCCGCACCACGCGCTGCCAACAAAAAACGCCGCGTTGCCGACGATGATATGGACCGCTGCTCATCAGCGAGCGACTCCGGCAGCGAATCACCGTCGCGTTGCTCTATGGAGCAAAGCGAACCTTCAACACCCAAGCGTACGCGCATCGCTCCCGAGCAGATGCCTCTTGGCCTTGAGCGTTCTGACTTCCATAACATGCATCTTCGACAAGGTGGTCACCTCCTCAACGAAGAGGACTCTGACGACGAGGACTGGAACGCCGAGGACGATCGCGTCCTCATTGAAATCGTATTGGAGAAGCTCAGGCTCTCAAAGGCAGAATGGCAAGATTGCGCCCGGAATCTTGGCCGCGATCGTCATGCTGTTGATCGTCGCTGGAAGACACTATTGCTCAATGGCGACGTTGGTCTCAAGTCACGACCAGGTCGCTAGGCAAACTCCACCAACCTTGCAAGCATCTTCTCACGTACATGATTTATAAATTTGATATTTAGCGAAAGCCTCAGCCGACCGTCATCGGTAGCGAGCATATATAAACTGGCGGCACTACAGAACAGGGGGCAATGGGTTGCCATTGGCGTTTGGGTATTGATTCCCATTTTTGTAATGATATCCACACGCGCAAAAAACGTGCGTATTAAATTTTATGTTGCTTTTTCTGTCTTTCTAGAACCAAGAACTGTAATTGGCTACCATAGATGTCAACAATTTACAGACAGTAAACATCATTGCTTCACCTTCAACTGGGTCTACGATTATCTTCTTATTCGAGTCTGTATCTATTCGGTTCATGCCAGTAACCAGCCACTGGTACAATTTGGTATTCGTCTTTCTGGTCAACCGTTGTGGAAAACTGTCAGGGTTCACTCCAACCACCTTATTTTGTCTCAACGGTTATCGAAGTGGCTGGACAATCAATGCGTAGTATCTGTAACCATGTAGAGTTCCTACAAAAGATATTTTGTTCGTGGAACCCGGTTAGGGTAGCATTGTCAACTTGCAGTCAATTGCAATCCAAGACATAGTTGCGTGCCAAAGCCTAAGCACCATTGAATATCATACGCCATCTTATCATGAGACTGAGGCCCTATCTAGCCTCTTCGTCTCATCCGATAATAAATCGTGTACTATGATCCCGCATCCATCTTCTATGATCCCCTCCATCACCCCCCATCGCCCATCCCGCATTCTAGCCCAGTCTGATATCAACCAAGCGCACGGCCAGTCCGAGCGATACCGTACGATACGCGAAGAAAGCATCTATCTGCGTAGCAACGATGCTAGTCTATCACATCAAAGCACGGGCATTGAGCACACAAAACAAAATCGCATGTGCAAAAATGCTGTCTGTTCCAGTTTTCATTATTATCGTAGACGTCTTCTGGCCTCTGCACGTTTCATACTAAGAAAAGCTCAGTTGATAAACTTTGCGCTTGTGTTGCCAGTCCGAGTCAGGGTCCTTCCACTGACCTTCTGCCTCTGTTCGATCTCTGGACTTGACCTAGCGTGAGCCCGTACCGAGGAAAGGGACGGGCGCGGCGGCGGGCCGAGATGGGGGACGGAACCGTTGCTGGGTGACGCCCAAGGTTTATTTGTTGTTGACTGCAACATGAAATTAGAACACCATCTTGTTCTGAAGGTGTGTGATATGAAACCGGGCTCGATCAACCCTCAATGCAAAGATAGTGCAGTTTCATAAAAATGTAATATTTAATTTAATTTCACAGAGCAACCATTATGCCCTAATGCCTTGATTGTGACCTATCTATGAGACCATGCAATGGCATGTCATGTGCTTCTAAAATCCTGTAGCAAACCGTTGACGCACCCCCCTTGCTTCGCCTCGCGCCATGTATATCATTAATGTGGAATACTGACTTCGTACATAAACTTCTATTTCGCCGGTCATGCCTTTCACCAATCCCCGAGACTCGGAACCACCAGTGGAGGTTACGGTACTCATGGGAAAATAATAGCAAAATCGTCTGTGCCAGCCAACAATTAAAATGCAAAGTCGATGTGCGTATGAATGTGAGTCTTATACAACCGAGCCGCCCTGCTATGCTGTGCAGAAAAAGAAAACCTTGACAATGGTGATAGGCCGAATGGGAAATAAAACACGAAAAAAAGAGTCTAAAGAAGCGCTTGCGACACTTATCCGTCCTAAGGAGGTGTCATCTGCTCCTCCATGAGCATCTTGCGGACCTCCGTCTCAAGTGTATGTTCTGTCAGAGCGGGGTCTTCATCCTCAACAGCTCCTGTAACCTTGTTGGCGAGCTCGATCTTCTTCTGACATGCCTTGTAGATGAGCTCCTCGATGGTGTTGGTTGCGATGAGTCGGATAATTTCAACATCTCGTTTCTGGCCGAGACGATGAGCGCGATTCTCGGCTTGAATATCGTCCTGAGGATTGTCCGATTGGTCAAAAATGACGACCTTGTTGGCAGTTGTGAGGTTGATACCTGTGCCACCTGCTCCAGTAGTGAGCAAGAAGACGGGGATCTCAGGGTGCTCATTGAATTCGTCGATTAGTGTTTGCCGCTCTTCAACACTGGTGCTGCCCATCAGAACTCGATGCTGGATGTGTTGTTGAGCAAGAACCTCTTGCAGCAGTTCAATGACACGAGAGAACTTGCTGAAAACCAGAACTCGATCACCGTTCTTCTGATAGTGGTTGATCAGCTCCAATAGCTTCTTGACCTTGCCACTGTCCATTTCTGCCTCTGGAGGAATGTCAAACTTCCCGAGAAGTCCTGGGTAGTCACGGCACCAGAGATGGAGCCCAAAATCAGAGGAATCCTTGAGTTCCTGAATGAGGTGCTTGATGTCTGGTTGACGCAGGTCGTCCTGTGAAACACTATTCATGAGGATCGTAGCCATCTGTTCGACCCTTTTATCGTTAAAGTGACGCCTAAATAGGAGCGGATGTAGAGCTGCCTTGCGAAGCTGCATCCAGCAATTGTTTTGATCGTTTCCACGGCCAAGAACCTTGGTTACCCGCTTGGATGGCTCTAGCTTGAACATCTCTTCGTACTCGGCGTATACTTGCTTTTGCTTCTCATCCAGGTCACAACGAACGACAGTGCAAACCTTGGGAGGCATGTCTGATAGGACCTGGTCTTTGCGACGCTGAAGGATAAAAGGCTCCAGAATAGTGCGAGCTCGCTTGACACGTTCGCTGTACAAAAAAGCACCGTTTGACACGTCTCGAATGGTGACTTTTTGACTGAAGATGTACTGAATCTGCTCCATACAGCCCTTAAATATCTCAGGATTGATAAAATTGAGAAGTGATGTCATCTCTAACAAGTTGTTCTGTACAGGAGTTCCTATGATATATTGTTAGCACTGGCCCCATTGGAGGGAAATAATAGTAGCATACCTGTAAGGAGCATCTTCCACGAAGCCGGAATGCGACGAAGGTCTCTGTAAATCTTGGTCTGAGGGTTTTTCATCTTGTGACCTTCGTCAAAGATAGCAGCATTAAGTTCGATGGACTGCATAGCCTCAATGTCTGCTTCATTATTGATTTGAGAGTACGTCGCAAGAACGACATGGAATGCCTCAGGCTCTTGTTCAATCTCATACGCAATCTCAGCTCGCACTGCCTGAGAGCCTCGATATCCAATTACCGTTAGGTCGGGAGCAAACCTTTCAAACTCAACGAGCCAGTTGTTGTATGTACTGGGTGGAACGACGACCAGATTAGGCCAGGGCCGTCTTCCCTTGTTGTTGCTGTTACTCTCTTCATAATCTTGAACAAAGTGACTGATGAGTGAGATGACCTGGCAAGTTTTGCCCAAGCCCATTTCATCGGCGAGGATGCAACCAATGTTGAACTTGTAGAGCAAGGACATCCAATTGAGACCGACAAGTTGGAAGGGCTTCATTTTGCAGTGTCCATCCATATACTTGGGCTGCTTAGCAATGGGTGGGCGTACGTATTTGGTCGCGCTTATGCTTGTGGGAGTAGGCGGAAGGTCCTCAGAGTCCTGCCGTTGTCCTCGTAGTTTGTCATGACCAAAAGTGTCAATGTCCCAGGTGTCAACCTGCTGCTTGATGGCTTTGGCGTCGCGCTCGCACTTGTCAACGACCTTGTCAATTGCTTCAACTGCATTAAGGAAAACTTCGACAGCATCGACCACATTCTCTCCAATGCTGATCTTGGAAGCCTTTTTCGCGCCCAGTTTCTTGCCAATAGTGACACGCCTGGCTTTTGAGATATCTTCAAAAGGTCGCTTCTCAATCATGCATGCAAGCTGATCCTCCCTCATGCCTGTCATAGCCGCTAGTTCTTGGACAGTGCATGTGTTAAGGGAGGTCAGCACCCTATCATCATCATCGTCGGAAGGATCTGGTGAGGCCTCGGCCTGATAGGTATCTTCCTTGTCATCGTCGATTAGGTTGATAACCAATGGATCGTCACTCGAGGCATGTGCAGGCGCCGCAGGAGAAGAGGGGACTGGTGGTGACGATGGAATGGACTGCTGTCGAATACCTTGAACCAGTCGTCGCCGGGGCTTCTTCTCGGGGCTAGGGGATGCCGCGTGGGGAACAGAATTGTCCCGGCTGGATGTTGCTGATGTTTGTAAATCTCCCTTGCTGATCAGTCGTCTACCAGTCTTGGACTTCACAGCCGGTCTGGGCTGAGATGCCTCACGCTCTAGGAATGAAATTGTTTCGTCAAGATCGTTATTGCATGCACTCAAAGCTTCCTTGGCCTTGTGTGATGGAACCTTGTCTCCGAAGACATCGTATATCTGCCGGAGCTTTGTTATAACTGACTTCTGCTCGATCGCATCGGATTCGGGTCTGTAGGCGAATGCCGCCACATGTGCCTTAAACATTGTCGGTCGGATATCACCGCGGGGAGGTGTGAGGTCATCTTCGTCGTCTGAGATGAGACTGATAGGCTCTTGAGCCGGCCGCTTGTTGTTCATTGAGGGAAAAGTCCGTTGTGGTGGACGAAAGACCGTGCCAGCAGGGGCAAGCCGATTGCCTAGGGGTGTAGGCTTGGCCTGTTGAAAAGGCGAGGATGCAGGAACTTCGATTATGCTGCTAGCAGGTGAGGATGACCGCATAGGCGCAAGTGTAGGTTTCTGAAGGACTTGTGTCGGCTGTGTTGTTTGTGGATCTCGTAAAAAGGCAGACGGAGAGCAGGGAATGGTATCTGCTAGCTCGTCGGCGTCGTCGATGGTACTCGTGTTGCGAGCGAGCGATGGGGTGCGTGGTAAAGCGTTTGAGTGCCGCATTGGTAAGGGTGAAGAGCTTCGTGCCATATTGTAGTGTTATGAAATATGGGCATCCGCAACAATAGGGAGACGTTAGAAGCTAGCAGCGTTTGAGGGCGGAGACCGTGATTGCAATTGAGCGGATCGACCGTTTGTTGGTTCTGTTCAGTTGCAATCAACGGACAATAGACCGCACCACCGGATGAAAGAGGAAGGGGGTCGTTGGCAGGGATTTAAAAGACTGTTTAAATTAGAGAAAAAGAAACAGAAAGGACTTTTAATTGAGTAAAGAGGCAGACAGTGCTTGCCAGTGCTACAGGAGGTTCTAATTCAAATCTCAGAGGGGCGTTTTGGAGGGTGGAGATTTTTTGAAGTGACCCAACCGTCTAAACTCGCTTCGAGACGCGACCCGCATAAAATGAATCGCGAAATCACGTGAGACTCAAATGGAATGGAATAGCTTATATGGGTACTGTAGTTAGGTAGAGATGGCCATTAACGAATTCTAATATTAAGAACAATTATGAATATAAAGAGAAAACATATATAGGAATAATTGAATCTGATATAATTCTTTGTAGTTGCGCCTTACTATTGTGTAAACAAAGAATTTACTTTTCTCTTGCGCGTTGATCATTACATGGCAGGTGCTTTTCCAGTTGCTTGCACGTGCAAGCGGGACGTCAACTTTCAACCCTCTCAATCATAGGTCTGAATTAGGTAGCCTCAACTCAACCCCGACACAGACAGCGTCATCAATCCGTCCCAACAAGAGGTTGAACTCTTGTAATATTTTCTCAAAATGGCCACCCGTCGTATTGTTGCTACTGAAAAGACATTCCTCGATAAGGATGATCCTATCGACGAAACCTCAAGCACTGCTCCTGCTGTACCCAGGTAAGCCTTAAATACCTTCAACAATCTCACCCGACCAAAACTGACCAGATATAACAGCCAAGTAATTTACAAGCTTCTGGCCTTCACTTTTGCTATGGTATTTCTGCCAATTGGTTCATATTTCCTTACCGTCAACAATGTTTTCAATGGCAAGTCTCTTCGCACATTCCTGCGTGTCAGAATTCAAACTAACGGTGCCTAGGCAACTCTTCTTTCGCCGGCGGTTTGGCTGCTGTATTGGCCAACGTCGTCCTCATAGGCTACATTGTTGTTGCTATGAAGGAGGACCAGTCGGACCAACTACAGGCTGAAAACAAGAAGGACAAGTAGACACAAAACAGTGGCTTCTTACTGCCGCCAAAATTCACTTCAAACAACTGTGAACCTTGCACACACAACTATTCTTTGAGTCATTAATGTCAATTATTTTCTCATGTTATCTTTATGAGCCTGCCTTTTGGTAGACCGCCATGTCTGGATGATTTCTACAGCCACGTGTATGTGCTATGTGCGTCTCAGGGAGTGGGTGTAATTAATGGTGATCGTGGCGGTAGATCTAGCCTTTGCTTTGCATCTCAAGGACATCCTCCAAGGAACCAGTTGCACAAAGTTCAGCCTGCCATCGCCTCGTACAGTTTCGTGTGCTAATGTACCATCGTGATAAATTGGAATGTGCCGCCTTGTCTTAGTGGCAATACCCCTAGTCATCCCAACCTCAAACCAATTTGACCAAAGTAAAAAACAAAGCTCGCTCATCCGGTCCCATTGCAAGGGCAAATCGCAAGTAGTAACAGTATACTCCAGCGTCCATCGTAAAAATTCGTTGAATAGTAACATGAACTGTTAAGCGCTATCTGATCATGGCATTCCGACGCTGAACATCAAAGAAACGGGTATCGACAAAGGAGAGTGGGTGGCTGTTGCGTAAGTTTCACACGTCTACATCTCAAACGTGTATAATTGTTGCCGGATCGCTGGGTTTTCAAGAGTTTTTGCTGAACCTACGAGAAAACCAACTCTTGCGCTTATCCCCGCCAGCTGTTTGTTGGGGCTGTTGTGCTGATTGCTGTGTAGATGTTCTCCTCAAAAGAGTGTTCTTCTGCTTCTGAGAAGGAACCGGAGCCTGGTCCTGACTCGGAGCTGATTGCGCATGGGAAGGTGGTGGCATCTGAGGATAGCTGGCATTGCCATTCATGCTAGGAGTAGGCCAGGGGCGTGACTGATTTGCTGGCTGGTATTGGGAAGAACTTGACGCATACTCATTGAAAGGCTCGCGGCGCTTAGCCGGCATAGTCCGATCAATCGAACTGTTGTCACTGCTCGTGGGATCTGTCTGATAGCCTGCGTGGTCTGAATGGCCGCTTCCCGCAGCAGAAGCTACGGTCTCGTAAGATCGATCCTTGTTGGGTAGGGGATATATGGTTTGGTCGTGACCGTTCTGGTACTGCGGCTCTGATTGCATTCTAGACATCCGTTGCCGCGATGGACCTGTGCCATAACCGTTGCTGTAAGCCTGGCCATCAAAATAGTTGCTTCGGGACCCTGTGTCATACTGGTTGCCTTCTGGCTTCAGAGACATAGGGCGGCTGCCATAGTAACTATCGCGAGGGAATCGTGGCTGGTTACTAAACGAGCTGTTGCGTCTATTCCAGTTGGCTTGCGAATCTGTTTCTGCACCGGAGTCAATAAATCGTGTTGCTTCGTTCATTGGTTTCATACATACCAGCTCGATAAAGAGACTTGCGAGAGTATCCTCCGTCAATGGCAGCCTCGAAACTTCGAATAGTGTCGAGTGGACGCTCCCATCTGTTTCGTGTCGGATTCGATTTGTCGGGATCCTCTGTTTGTACTGTCAGTGGTGCCGTCTTGGGACAATAGGAATAGATCACGGACCGATGGAATTGCCATATGGGTCTTTGTGTTGCATAGATCGCAACGGAGCGAAATTCGATTCGGTCATCATGGCGGCTTCCGCAGCTATTACCATTGTGTTAGTGAATAGTCACTGCCTTGAACTATCAAGATAGGGAAAGTGATGACATACAAGGCTCTGCTTCGTTCAATGCAAAAGTGGGATCCGCTGTGCTATGTAAACGCTTCGCTTCCTTCTCGGCGTGAGTTTCGTGTAAATCTTTGCTGCCAGAGCTCTTATGCGATTTTTGAGAATGAAAGCTGAAGGTTCTGCTATGAGCGGGCGGGTTCTGTGTAGTTTTGCGCGGCGAGGACGGGGCCGTTGCTTGATATTGCTGCTGCTGATAATGTTCTTGCGCCGGATAATTCGCCGGCGCTGGTGGGTATTGACGATACTGCTCGGTGGAGGTCGCCATGGTTGCGGCGCTTGGGGGCACGACTGTTTTATTAGACGTATTGCTTGGCAGATGGATCTCCGAATGGCCCTTACCCTTGAGGATTAGAGTCTCAGGGTGATAAGAGAGTGGAGAGTTGCAGACGATCGACCGATGCGATGGAGACGGTGGATAAGAGCTGGAGAGTGCAAGGAGTAGGCTGTGTCGGGGAGAAGTCACCGAAACCAGACGAAACGGCTACTAGCAAGGAAGTTCAGAAATTGTCGTGGGACCAGCGAGACGGATATATTGGGTGGAGTTGTTTGGCGTAAAAGGTTCTGATAAGAAAAAGAGGCTGGGGCTTGCTCAAACAATAATATGTGGTCTGCCTGTGCTAAAGTTTTGAAGGTACGTGTCGTTGCGTTTTTAGACCGGATACCGGGAAGTGGGTGGGGTTGGCTCGTAAACTGGCGCCTGCAGTCTGCTGTGCAAGAATAGCAAGGTACAGCTGGACTTATTAAGGGACGAGTGGCTAGGAAGACTGGACGATGATACCGTATTTTGCGCGCCTAAGTGAGGTGAGATGTATGGCTGGTGGCGGCCGGTGTCTCTGTTTCTGACCTTACGCAGGACGAAACAATGGAATCATTCGTTGGCACCGTGGCCTGTGTTCTTTAACTGGGGTCAGCTCTCTAACTCTGAGCAACCGTCAGACAAAAGTTGCAAGCGAGCAATGCACTGATGTCTTGAGCCGTGAAACAGTCCGGTAAAATGACTGGGATGTGGGCGGTCCAAATCGGTGCTTGCTCTATCAAGGTCGGGTCGCGCTTCAAAGTAAGCTAGGGTGGCGCGGAGTACGTTTTGCTGCTAGTGCCTGTGGCTGCGTGATAATGATGTGGGATGTGCAGGCTGGGACGACTGATCCTCGTGAATTGACTTCCACCTTTGCGATCCGTCCTTGTTTTTTGTGGTGATCGGTCTTATCCCGTTTCGGTTTGACTGATCTTTTTTTATCTTCTTTTGGATGGAGTACCAACAAACGAAGAAGATTCTGCAATTCTGCCAAACAGTTGTACACAATAGTCCTTGCGTTGGCGTGTGAGTCTTTTTTGTCTGCTTCTGTTCCTTGACGTCACTATCGATTGCAAATTTCTAGTGTCGACTGGTGCGCAAAATCTAGGGAGGGTTTTGAGCCGTGCCACGTTGAATCGTGCTCGGAAGAATCGTCCGGAGTGGCTGCTGTTCAGACTCAGACTCAAATAGCGCTGGCTCTGACGTACAAGGGGTACGAAGCTCGTGGTGGAGTCTCGCGTGTTGTCGAGTCACTAAGAAACGATGGAATGGAGTTGAAGGTTCCTTGAAGGCCGGGATCAATGGAAGTGGTTTTTTCTCTCTCGAAATACCCTGCCTGCCCTGTATTTCGGTTGTCTGTGGAACTGGTGCAGCCAAGCCGAGGGCAATGAGATGAAAACCTGGGGATGGCGGGCAGATAGTCTAATTGCTGTAGAGGGAATCGTTTGTTTAATAGGGTCTTGACCATGGATCGAGGATTCGGGATTGCTCGACTGGGGATATATTAGTAAATAGGCGGGTATGGATGGATGGCTGGTTGGCTGGTGGCAGCTAAGTTGTCGGTTATCCGTCGAAGAGATGGGCTGAGTTGAAACGGGCGCAATACCGGTAACGAAAGACAAACGAAGGAGACGAAAGCGAGAGAAAGTTATTCTCAAGGGAATATAAGAGTGAGAAAGAGAAGAAACGGAGGCCTTTTTTTATATAGGAAGATAAAGGAAAGCTGGCGACCAAGTCGTATTTAAGTGAGGTGATCCGCTTCCATCAGGTTGCCGCACCTTCCATCGCATCAAACTCGTGTTTATCCATTCATCGGCTTCCTTGTGACTTCCGTTTACAAACGCTCCCCATCGTTAACTGAGTTTTTAGATCAGTCTGAGGCTCAACACCACACCAATCCTGGTAATGGATGTACAATTGGTACGTGGATTGGAACCAATTGGGAGGCAATTGCATACGCGTACTGCCCCAGAGCTACGGCAACGACTCTACAAATGGTACTGTTTGTACTAGCTTTGGCTATCTTGTTCTTGCTTTACTGGCTACGGCGGTATTGTTCTGCATTAGATCTGGTTGATGCATTTGTACAGTACCTGGATGAGAGGTAGCCCTAAGGCCACACAGCCGTCTGATGACTGGCTTAGTGCTCGGGCAGAATCGAGACATGCCAGATCGTCAGGCCATGACGCGTCGTTCTCTCTCTTCCCCCGGCCACTGGAACAGCTTCGCCATGTATGCGGTGACAGCCACGTCTTCTGTGTCCTCTGCTTACCATTCACGAGGATACGGAAGCTTTGTGATCCAATGGTGGGAAGAACATAGTTACAGTGTTGCATGCAACCGTCTGCACCAAAGTTCGGTACCTTGAATTCTTATTCGAGGCTAGTTTTTGAAAGGCACCTTGTGTAGCTAAGTTTGATGCTAAAGCAATTAGCTTAATGGGTTCTCCATTACCGTCGTAAGCCTAAAGCTACACCCATTTGGAAAGTCAATAGGTTAGACAAAACTCTCATTCACTTTGTTCGCATGGATGCTGTACTGTACTCATCGTACCCGCATAACAAACCGGTCTCGACCATCCGACTAAAAGCCAAGAACCCTCATGGGTATCTGAAGTGGTGCTCTTAATGCCATGTCATGTCATGCCATGCCAAGCCGTGTCCTCCATCCTTGAGAAGTCTTCATGCCTGTGTAGCAACAACGGAATAAATAGTCTTTCTTGTCTTACTCTCTCCGTGCGTGTTGTGCTGTTCTGTGCTCTTGCCATGAGAGAACCTACCAAATACAGCGCTAGGGATAACCCCAACAATTCCTGATGAAGCTGGCGGCTGGTCATCTTGACGTTGTCCATCGCTCCGCCCCTGTTTTATCTCGTGTTAGGTGCCCCCCCACACACCATCTTCGCTTTCGCAGTGGTAGAAAGTAACACTAGAAGAGTATGTACACACATACAAAAAAGAAGAAGAAAAGAGA